ATGTTGTTAAGGCTGTATAGAACGACAGTATTTTTTCTTCCAATATTAAGTACGCTGCACTAGCTGGTGTTGAATTTCATTTGCCAATCTGACTACTCCTGCAGTTTATTTAAATCCTCCTGTAGTGGATTTGCGTCCTGCCCTGAATTAATCTGCCGCCCTATTTTGGTGTCATCCGCAAACTTGCTTATGTCACTGCTGATCCCAGTATCTAGATCGTTTATGTAGATTATGAACAAGAGTGGGCCCCGTACTGACCCCTGGGGAACCCCACTGGTTACACTGCCCCACACAGATTTAATATCATCTACGCTGACCCTCTGTGTTCTATCCGTAAGCCATGATTTTATCCAATTTAAAACTTTCCCCTCGATACCATGAGCCATAACTTTTCTCAGAAGCCTCTGATGCGGTACTCTGTCAAACGCTTTGCTAAAGTGTAAGTAAATAGCATCGTAAATTTCGTCATTATCTACAACCTCAAAGACTTTCCTAAAAAACGTCAGCAGAATTGTTAGACAAGATTTTCCCTTTGTAAACCCATGTTGAGAGTCATAGATTAATTTAACTTTCTCTAAATGCGATCGGATGCTATTTGCTATAATTGATTCAAGAAATTTCCCCACTACTGACGTCAAAATAATCGGCCGGTAATTTGACGCTGATGATCTGTCTCCCTTTTTTAATATGGGTTCTACATTTGCCTGTTTCCACAAGTCTGGCACAACTTCCGTGTCTAATGATTTTGTAAATATATTTACGAGGAGTCAGCTAAACTGTTCCTTACACTCTTTCAAAACTCGAGGGAAAATTTCATCCGGCCCTGGGGATTTTGTCTTCTTTAATTTTTTTATCTTCTTAAGAACATCCTCTTTTCTGATAGTGATATTCTTTAATTTCTCTTCTTCATTTCCCCTAAATGTCAGTTCCACCTCTGGCATGTCCTCGTGAATTTCTTCTGTGAAAACTGATAAGGAGTAGCTGTTTAATGGTTTGCTTATCTTCACACTATCCTCGATCACTTCCCCTCTCTGACTTTAAAGGCCCCACTTTGTCCTTGACATTTGTCCTATATACCTGGAAAAATCCCTTGGGATTCGCCTTGGATTTTCTTGCTATCCTGATTTCGTAGTTCCTCTTTACCTTCCTTACATTTTTCTTAACATTCCTAGATAGTTCATAATACCTATCCCTGAGCTGCTCCTGTGTGTGACACACAGGTAGTGTGTGTACACAGGTAGTGTGTGAGCACAGGTGGTGTGTGAGCCACAGGTAGTGGTGAGCCTGGGTAGTGTGTGAGCCACAGGTAGTGTGTGAGCCACAGGTCGTGTGGGCACAGGTAGTGTGTGAGCCACAGGTAGTGCTTTGTGAGCCACAGGTGGTGTGTGAGCCACAGGTAGTGTGTGAGCCACAGGTAGTGTGTGAGCCACAGGTGGTGTGTGAGCCACAGGTGGTGCTATGTGAGTCACAGGTAGTGTGTGAGCCACAGGTGGTGCTGTGTGAGCCACAGGTGGTGCTGTGTGAGCCACAGGTAGTGTGTGAGCCACAGGTGGTGTGTGAGCCACAGGTGGTGTGTGTGAGCCACAGGTGGTGCTGTGTGATCTGGTGGTGTGGCCACAGGGGGATCGGTGTGTGGTTGTGTGAGCCACAGGTAGTGTGTGAGCCACAGGTAGTGTGTGAGCCACAGGTGGTGCTGTGTGAGCCACAGGTGTCAAGGCAGCAGGAACAAAAGAGGTTCGTGTCAGGTATCACGCACTGAGCTGGCCATTGAGCGGTGTGAAACTATTTCATGAATGTAGTAAGCTGTGTGTGGGCGGCCCGCCACACTCCTACCGTGACGGTGTGGTGCTCCTACACAAACTACACTACACACAGAAGATGGTGATGCTACAGATGACGACACAATATGTTGAAGAATCATAAGATATCTGCTGCATCAGTCTACAGAAATGTCTTTAAAATACTACAACAACTCCTGAATGGCGGACCAACAGTCAGCCCAGAAGGAAGTTATATAATAGAAGAGTCGTCAGCTGAACTGCGGTGTACAGAAAGATGTCCTGTGATAATACCAAACAAAAGACCCCAGTAATACCAGCAGAAGTATGATGTATATTAAAAATTCGTAACCACATGTACTGACTTGTGACAGCTATACGAAAAGACCGTCACCAACTTCCAACACCAGAGGGCCGCTATACAGGTAACCCCTGCACTAAACACACATGGTCCTTCAGGTCACACCACACCTGAACACTCGACACAAGAAACTAAGAGACCTGACCACCAACACTAATGGAAGAAGACTTTATATCACAATTGGATGCATATAATGATGTTCTAACAATCGGTATAACAAAGCACCTAACACACGTCTTTGGGTGAGCTGAAAATAAAGTCCGCTCACGTCTATAGTTCTAAAATATTACCAACTAAGGCAAAAAGCTGGATGAGTGTGATGCTCCATATACTGAGTGGGAGCTCGAGGCTTTCTTAGCCCCTGGTGAGGACGGCGTCACCTACTCTATCACAAGACCACAAAGGAATGTGCCGGGTGATTCATTATTATTGGTGTTGGATAGTGTAAGTCACACCACGGGTCAGCTATCTACGGGCTAACAGTAGGTTCTTCCTTGTGTGTTGTGGTGTTGTTATCCCGTGTGTGTTGTGGTGTTACCCCGTGTGTGTTGTGGTGTAGTGGTGTTGTTCCGTGTGTGTTGTGGTGTTGTTATCCCGTGTGTGTTGTGGTGTTACCCCGTGTGTGTTGTGGTGTAGTGGTGTTGTTCCGTGTGTGTTGTGGTGTTGTTATCCCGTGTGTGTTGTGGTGTAGAGGTGTTATCCCGTGTGTGTTGTGGTGTAGAGGTGTTGTTCCGTGTGTGTTGTGGTGTTATCCCGTGTAGTGTTGTTCCGTGTGTGTTGTGGTGTTATCCCGTGTGTGTTGTGGTGTAGAGGTGTTATCCCGTGTGTGTTGTGGTGTAGTGGTGTTGTTCCGTGTGTGTTGTGGTGTTGTTATCCCGTGTGTGTTGTGGTGTAGAGGTGTTATCCCGTGTGTGTTGTGGTTTATGGATATTAATTACCTTCAGATTTAATCCTGCTAGTGCTAACCTCACTTAACCTTACCTAACCTAATCTAACCCCACCAGAGATAGCATTAGGGTGTATAATCATCCAGGTAAATAAGCTGGCCAGGTTAATAAGCTGGCCAGGTTAATAAGCTGGCCAGGTTAATCTTCAGGTGATTCAACTTGTTGCTTTACCCATTTTGTTTGTTATTCTCTCTTGTTTCTCAATTATGTCTTTGTTCTTGTGTTTGTTTGTGTTTTCTTGTACTGTGTTCCTCAATTGTGTGTGTGTGTGTGTGTGTGTGTGTGTGTGTGTGTGTGTGTGTGTGTGTGTGACGCTTCTCTGTGACGGTGTGTTGTGATAAATGTGTAGTGAGACGACTTTATGCGTGTGGCGTCTCTCTCTCTCTCTCTCTCTCTCTCTCTCTCTCTCTCTCTCTCTCTCTCTCTCTCTCTCTCTCTCCACTTGAACATTCCTCCTTCCTCTTCCTCCTCCTCCTCCTCATCATCACCTCTCCTTCCTTCTTGTCCTCCACCCCCTCCCCTCTTATCCTCAGTTCCCTGTTACCCCTCTCCTCTCTCCTTCCATCTCTCTCCTCACCCTCCTGTCCTTCCCCACACCACCTCCCTCCTTCCTCACAACAGGACAGGAGTCAAGTCCTTCATACAGTCAGGAGTCCTTGTTTGCTGGACGGTGATGTCTCTAGCCTCTCTTATGTGTGTATGTATGTATGTATGTATGTATGTATGTATGTATGTATATGTTTGTGTGTATGTGTATGTATGTATGTGTATGTATGTATGTATGTATGTATGTATGTATATATGTATGTATATGTTTGTGTGTATGTATGTATGTATGTATGTATGTATGTATGTATGTATGTATGTATGTATGTATGTTGGGGTCGTCACAACACCGGCTGAAATATATCCTTATTGTATTGAGTACAGGAAATGGTGAAGTATACCTACACCCAGTGCCCCAACACCTGCCTACACCCAGCCTACAGTGCCCTAACACCTGCCTACACCCAGCCTACAGTGCCCTAACACCTGCCTACACCCAGCCCACAGTGCCCTAACACCGAGTGAGTGGGAGGGTAGAGGAGTGTGTGGGAGGGTTGAGAACCTCCCAATAAACTGGTTCCCGTACACGTGAAGCAAAGGTGGGAGTTCGGGGTGAGTATGGGAGGGTAGGGGAGATTGTGGGAGAAGATGGGAGTGAAGGGGAGTGTGTGGGGGGACGTGACAGTGCAGGGTGTATGAATGGGTCTGGGATCATATGGCTGAGTGGACGAATGTATGGGAGAACAGGGGAGTGCATGAGAGTGAACAGCGGGGGTGGAACAGTCAATCGGGGAGGCAACAGGGAGTCACGCTACAATCAATACAAGAGGCGTGCAGACGGCTACACTACCCCCCGTACGCTGCTCTACCGCGTCTTTTTCCCGTCGATAACTGCCGCAGGTGGTCGCTGCTGGGGGCTCCCGACGACCCATATTTCCACCTTGGGTATCTAGAGGTGGGTGGGGGGGGGGACTCGCACCCTGTTGGCGGCGTCTGACCGGAATATTGTGCCGGGGTTAATCAAGCATGTAATAAACTGGTTATATCAGGGCAGGGTGTGGGGGTGGGCTGGTTCATGGCGGCACTCCATCACTGTTGCGGGTAAGCGGATTTTATCGCTTCCCTCACGGCTCTCCCACGATTGCAACTACAACTTCTCTTTAATCTCTAATGAGTCGGGCTTAGGGGAGCGTGAGTGTTGCAAGGCAGGCAGGCAGGCAGGCTGGGGTTGTAGGCGGAGAGAGAGTAGGGGGGATAGTTCGGGGGAGGGGGATATAGTAGGCGGGAAGGGATATGAGGGAAGGAGGGTGGTATGCGAGGAGGGCGCCTGCGCGGAGTGAGTGGTGTTGCGTGAGGCAGCGTTACCAGAGCTGGCACACCATGTAAACACAGGGTGGGGAGCGGGCTAACACAGTGACCCGGACCCTCTGCTGGTGACCACTACTCAGGTTAGCTCTGCGCCGGGACTCCACTAGCTCTCTACCTCTCTGTAGCCACTACTCCCCTCCACCCTACCCTCGCGCCCCCTACACACCTCTGTTGTGGGGTGTACCCAGTGTACCGTGTGTCAGGGAACTGTGGTGTGTGTACAAGTGTAAAGTGAGGCGAGGAGGAGGTTATATGAAGCGTGGAGGTCGTATTAGGGCAAGTTATCACAGGCTGAGGCATTGATCTGACTGGCCCATTGCCTGTTGCTGGAGGTTATCGGGGCCAGCCAACACGCTCACTGTTTCAACAAGTTGATACCCCGTCTCCTGCCTCCAACATCCTCCTCGACACAGAAAACTCGGGAAATAAAGACAGACTAAAAAGTGAAGTGTTATAACAGATAGTATCTCGCATCATGCTCTAGGAGTAATAATCATACGCTCTAATAACATGTACAATGAAGAACCATCCTGATAGCCTCTCTCATTACTAAGACTCGTACGATCTAACTTTTAACAATAAGAAGAAGAGCAGCACCATTCTCAACAACTTTTACCACTACCTGCAACAAGTCGGGATAACGGAACATTCATCAGCGGTGACGAACCAGCCGCAACACACACACAGGTGAGTGTCATATTTCACACACACAGGTGAGTGTGTGAATAAAGAACCAGGTATACACGTGCGGGGGGCGCCGGTGTCAGGCCAGGAGGTAAGGGCCACCACCACGCCTACCTCATACTAACACACATTATGTTCCCCCGCCTCTGCCCCTCTCAGTTACCTTCAACAGTACAAGACCCGAGGGTGGTAATGTTACATGATGAAAAGTAAGCCAATTATTAACGACGGCATGGTGGTGTCAGGGATGGTGGTGTTAGGGATGGTGGTGTCAGGGATGGTGGTGTCAGGGATGGTGGTGTCAGGGATGGTGGTGTCAGGGATGGTGGTGTCAGGGATGGTTGGTGTTAATGGAAGGTTGGTGGTGTTAATGGATGGTTGGTGTTAATGGAAGGTTGGTGGTGTTAATGGAAGGTTGGTGGTGTTAATGGAAGGTTGGTGAGTGTTAATGGATGGTTGGTGTTAATGGAAGGTTGGTGGGTGTTAATGGATGGTTGGTGTTAATGGATGGAGAATTGGTGTCAATGGATGGTTGGTGGTGTCAATGGATGGTTGGTGGCGTTAATGGATGGTGCAGGTGGGCTAATGGAAGGTTGGTGGTGTTAATGGAAGTTGGTGGTATCAATGGAAGGTTAATTGGTGGTGTCAATGTATGGTTGGTGTTAATGGAAGGAGTTGGTGGTGTTAATGGAAGGTTGGTGTGAGTAATGGAGGGTTGGTGGTGTCAATGGATGGAAGTGTTAATGGATGGAGAATTGGAGTGTTAATGTGGATGGTTGGTGGTGTTAATGGATGGTGGGTGTTAATGGATGGTTGGTGGTGTTAATGGAAGGTTGGTGGCGTTAATGGATGGTGGGTGTTAATGGATGGTTGGTGGTGGTGTCAATGGATGGTTGGTGAGGTGTCAATGGATGGTTGGTGGCGTTAATGGATGGTGGGTGTTAATGGAAGGTTGGTGGTGTTAATGGAAGGTTAGCTGGTGGTGTCAATGGAAGGTTAATTGGTGTCAATGTATGGTTGGTGTTAATGTGGAAGGTTGGTGGTGTTAATGGAAGGTTAGTGGGTATTAATGGAGGGTTAATTGGTGTCAATGATGGATGGTTGGTGGTGTTAATGGAAGGTTGAGTGGAGTATCAATGGAAGGTTGGTGGTGTCAATGTATGGTTGGTGTTAATGGAAGGTTGGTGGTGTTAATGGATGGTTGGGTGTTAATGGATGGTTGGTGGTGTTAATGGATGGTAGGTGTTAATGGATGGGGAATTGGTGTTAATGGATGGTGGGTGTTAATGGATGGTTGGTGTTAATGGAAGGTTGGTGGTGTCAATGGAGGGTTGGTGGTGTCAATGGAGGGATGGTTGGTGTTAATGGAGGGTTGGTGGTGTCAGAGAATAGATTGTGGTGTCAGGGGATGGATAGTGGTGTCAGGGGCTGGATAGTGGTGTCAGGGGATGGATAGTGGTGTCAGGGGATGGATAGTGGTGTGAGAGGATGGATAGTGGTGTGAGAGGATGGATAGTGTTGTTAGGGGATGGATAGTGGTGTGGGATGGTGGTGTGGGGGGATGGATGAGTGGTGGAGGATGGATAGTGGTGTGAGAGGATGGATAGTGGTGTGAGAGGATGGATAGTGGTGTGGAGGATAGTGGTGTTAGGGGATGATGGTGGTGGGGGGATGGATAGTGGTGTCAGGGGATGGATAGTGGTTTGGGGGATGGATGGTGTGTTAGGGATGGATAGTGGGATAGGGGATGGATAGTGTGTGGAGGATGGATGGTTAGTGGTGTGAGAGGATGGATAGTGGTGTGGGGATGGATCAATGAGATGGGATGGTGTTGGAGGGATGGATGAGTGGTGTTGGGGGATGGATGTGGTGGGGATGGATGGATAGTGGTGTTGGGGATGGATAGTGGTGTCAGAGGATGGATGGTGGGGTGTAGGGGGATGGATGTGGTGTGAGAGGATGGATAGTGGTGTGATGGATGGATGTTGGGGATGGATGAGTGTTGGGGGATGGATAGTGGTGTAGAGAGGGTGGATGTGGTGAGGATGGATAGTGGTGTGGATGGGTGGTGTGAGAGGATGGATGGATGGTGGTGTTAGGGGATGGATAGTGGTGTGGGAGGAGAGGTGGATGGTGGTGTGAGAGGATGGATGGTGGTGTGAGGAGGATGGATGGTGGTGTTGGGGGATGGATGGTGGTGTTGGGGATGGATAGTGTTGTTGGGGATGGATAGTGTTGTTGGGGATGGATGGTGGTGGGGGATGGATGGATGTGGGGGATGGATGGTGTGAGGGGATGGATGTGGTGTTGGGGATGGATAGTGGTGTCAGAGGATGGTGGTGAGAGGATGGATAGTGGTGTTGGGGGATGGATGGTGTTGTTAGGGGATGGATGGTGGTGTTGGGATGGATAGTGGTGTTAGAGGGATGGAGATGGATGGTGGTGTGAGAGGATGGATGGTGGTGTCAGGGATGGATGAGTGGTGTGGGGGGATGGTGGTGTGGAGGATGGATGGTGGTGTTGGGGGATGGATAGTGGTGTTAGGGGATGGATAGTGGTGTCAGAGGATGGATAGTGGTGTTGGGGGATGGATAGTGTTGTTGGGGATGGATGGTGGTGTTGGGGGATGGATGATGGTGTCAGAGGATGGATAGTGGTGTGAGAGGATGGATGGTGGTGTTAGGGGATGATAGTGTTGTTGGGGATGGATGGTGGTGTTGGGGGATGGATAGTGTGTGAGGAGGATGGTGGTGTTGGGGGATGATAGGGGATGTAATAAGGTGTTGTTGGGGGATGGATGGTGGTGTTGGGGGATGGATGGTGTTGTTGGATGGGTGAGGGTGTTGGGGGATGGATGGAGGGGAGTGTAGTGGATGGTGAGAGGGATGGATAGGTGTGGAGTGGTGTGAGAGGATGGATGGTGGGTGTGGATGGTGGTGAGGGGATGATGAGTGGTGTGGCAGGGATGGATGGTGGTGTGGGGAGGGATAGGGGATGGATAGGGGTGTTGGGGGATGGATAGTGGTGTCAGAGGATGGATAGTGGTGTTAGGGGATGGGGGATGGATAGTGTTGGGGGATGGATCAGAGTGTTGTTAGGGGATGGATAGTGGTGTTAGGGGATGGATAGTGGTGTGAGAGGATGGATAGTGGTGTGAGAGGATGGATAGTGGTGTGAGAGGATGGATAGTGGTGTGAGAGGATGGATAGCGGTGTGAGAGGATGGATAGTGGTGTGAGAGGATGGATAGTGGTGTTAGGGGATGCAAACACCATTACTAGAATAAAAAAAACTGCAGAAAGTGTTTTTCACATCTGTTGCCGTTTTCTTTAGTCTTCCCTTCATCTGTTGCCGTTTTCTTTAGTCTTCCCTTCATCTGTTGCCGTTTTCTTTAGTCTTCCCTTCATCTGTTGCCGTTTTCTTTAGTCTTCCCTTCATCTGTTATCGTTTTCTTTAGTCTTCCCTTCATCTGTTGCCGTTTTCTTTAGTCTTCCCTTCACCTGTTATCGTTTTCTTTAGTCTTTCCTTCATCTGTTGCCGTTTTCTTTAGTCTTCCCTTCACCTGTTATCGTTTTCTTTAAAGTCTTTCCTCATTATGATTAAGCTCCACAAATTACCGTCTTCTCTTTAGATCTCTGACTCCCTGATTGGTTGCCGGAAGGGTCATTGCTGCCTAATCGGTGAATTTATTACCATATAATTTCATGAATATTCGAATCAGTTGTAAGATTGCCTGGTGGGTAAACAGAATCCGTGCACGTGATTAGTTCATTAGTTAGAGGGGGCGGGACTGTAGATAACTCAGCATTGCGTATTAAAGAATAAGAAGAAAAAACTAGATAATAGATTAATAGATACCAATAGAATATACACCCATATATAAATTACAGTCTGGTTTGTATACTATAATCACAGACCAACACAGTTAACAGTCAGTCACCATCTTGTGGACAGTCGGAAAAATCCCTTCCCAAAACACCTCACCCACGGCAGCACAGTGATATAAGGAGGCTACTGCTGAGAACAAGAAGTGTGGGAGGCATATCAGTGGGTGTAAAGTGGGCAAAGTTAGTCGATAATGATGAAGTGATGGCCATTATCGTGACACATTGTTCAAGTCCCACACAAGGGTTTGATCACTGTGTGTGTGTGTGTGTGTGTACGAGACGCCCCACATACCTCTCCTCTTATCTTTCTCTTCCCTCTTTATCTCATTCTTCTTCTTCTTGGACACACATACACAAGAACCTGATTAGTGTGTGGACCAGATACTAAACACGTTCTTCTTCTCCTCCTCCACGTTCTTCTTCTCCTCCTCCACGTTCTTCTTCTTCTCCTCCACCTTCTTCTTCTTCTCCTCCATCTCCTCCGTCTTCTTCTCCTCTTCTCCTCTTCCCTTCTTCGTCTTAACCACACCCTCTTAATTCCTCCTTAATTTAATTCTCTTTCTTGATTACGAGAATTTTGTGAATGAAGGTTATAACCCTTGAGTACTCTAACAGTTGTGAGTTATAACCCTTGAGTACTATAACAGTTGTGAGTTATAACCCTTGAGTACTATAACAGTTGTGAGTTATAACCCTTGAGTACTATAACAGTTGTGAGTTATAACCCCTGAGTACTATAACAGTTGTGAGTTATAACCCTTGAGTACTATAACAGTTGTGGGTGAGTTATAACCCTTGAGTACTATAACAGTTGTGGGTGAGTTATAACCCCTGAGTACTATAACAGTTGTGGGTGAGTTATAACCCTTGAGTACGTGGGCTGTTTATATATTTTTTTCCCAGGTGTAGTTAAGAATACTTGGGGCGTTTCGTTGTTTATACTATAATTCATAACGTTCTGTTTTTTTATAGACGTTTGGATTTTGTTTTTTTATAGACGTTCTGCTTATTTTTTTGCTCCGTATTTTACACCATGTACTTATCGTTCTTCAAGTACTCTGAATGTGTGTGTGAGTGTGTGTGTGTGTGTGAGTGTGAGTGTGTGTGTGTGTGTGTG